GGCGCACTCAGTCTCTCCCCACCCCCAACCTCCCTCCGGCGTAATTATTATAATTCCAGGCAAGCCGTCGGAGAGAGTTCCTGGGTGTGTGTGTGTGTGTGTGTGTCCGCGCGCGCGCGCATGTTTGTGGAGAGGCTTCTCTCCTGTCTGGGTCTCCTCCAGCGACGCACTCAGGCCCTTCGGCTCCCGCGTTCCCCCGAGTTGTGTTCGTCAAATCTTGGGCATCTCAGGGCGCCCTTCCCTCTCCCTCGGCGAGCTGGCGTGGCCCTTGCCTTTAGGGACTCTGCCGAATAGCTGCCCGTAGGGATGGTAACCTTGACTTCCCTCCACCTGCACGATTTGTGCTGTAGATCCTGGGGCTCCTTCCCTTGGTTTATCTGCACTTCCATCGCCACATTTAGGACGGTCTCACCGGGATCTGTCTTGACTGGAGTGGAGGACGGTGCGCCCCAGACTTCTCAATATGGATTCGAGGAGCCTCTCGTTCAGGAGCCCTCAAACGCAATGCTTTCTCCCTCTTCACCTCTCCAGAAGCCCCTCCTTACCATCACGGTCCGGACAGCGGCGGGAAGGCCGGCCCTCCTGCTCCTGACACTCCCGGCCGCGTCCCCGCAGTCTTTACGTAACTGCGCTGCTCCGAGCTGTTCTGTTCGGTCTTGTCTCCCTGACTTTGTTTTAAGGTGTGTTTTGTGTGTGTGTCTGTGTGCGTGCGTGTGTGTGTGTGTGTGTGTGTGTGTGTGTGTAAGACACGTCCTTAAAGAAAGTCTCCGGCTAATCTCCTCTCCTTATCTCGCCCTCCCGACTTTTCTTGGCCTCCTGCTGCCCGAGCGTTCGTGCCATCTGTGAGGACCCACTCCCCGCCTCTCCCCAGCCCACTGCTCGCCCCGTCCGACGCCGGGCCCCTCTATGCCCGAGGGATCGATGTCCCCGGAAACTCCGCCACCCGCGTCCCAGCCCCGGCCCGAACAGGTCGAAAGTGGCCGCCAAGGAAAACAAACCACCCGGGGAACAGGAGGGCAGGGCAGAGCGCGGGCTCTGGGCCACCGCGGGGCCCTGCCCGAGGGGACGGCGGCCGGGGTACTCACAGACGCTGGGGCGAACGTGAGGAAGAGTCACTCACCACCAGATCGGGTAGTTGCCCAGCGCTTGCTTCAGGCCGTAGAGGAATATGAAATATCCGAGCGGGGCCATCGCCGGGCGGGAGATCTC